TTAACTTCAGGCCAGATACGCTGAATGTGAACAGTTGTATTCTGAGCTGAAAACATCAGTCATGGGCTTCCTTTAACAACAGATCAACTCTTAAGATTACGAATTCTTGTCTTATTCTCTAACCAGCAGGACTCATTGGTATCCAGGTGCAATATGAGCTCAAGGTCCCCAATGGCAGAAACGACATAGATTTCAGCCCTTGATGGTACCCAGGAGGGTACTTGTGACTCAGAGCAGAATGTGCTGCTGTCAGGACGAGGTGCAGAGTCCATGCAGAGTGCAGTCACACCAGTTCAAAGTACCTTCCACCCCTCGCCCGTGAGGACCAACGCAGCCTATTGGCAGCACGTCAAGCACTGAGGGCAGCAGGCACTGACAGCACTGCTCTGGGACCCTGCCCACCACAGGGAAAGCTGCCCTTCACCAGCAGAGGCAAAATGAGAAAGAGGGAATAACCACAGCCTCTTAGCAGCAGATGAGCTGCCCAGCCATCACACTGCAAACACAGCTTTTAGGTTTGCACATCACCAGCCAGCCAACCTGGTTCCTACCATCCCCTGTCCCCTGTCTCCTCGCAGCAGGGACTTCCAGGGCTCCCCAGAAGCTCCTAAAAAAACAAACAAACAAAACAAAACAACAGAACAAACCAAAAAAACCACAAAAGATACCACCAAACAAACAAAATCTAGCCCACAAAACAAAAAACCTCCACCCACCACCAAAATATTTCTCAGGTCTTGAAGGAGAAATTGAAAGGGCTTCTCCTCTGGAATATTTTCCTGCCTTTAAAAAAGAGTTACTGCCCTTACTTACATATAATACGGGGGGAATTTTCCACAGGGCATCCTGTCAAGTCACCGCAAATGCCAGTTAACCCAAAGAAGAGACCTTGGGACCTTAGGAACTGGAAGCTGCAGCACAACACCCTTTCACACATGGTCCCTGGAGCATCATCTGACCCTGGGGAGCACTCCAGGTGACTGGCCTCACAGACCAAGCTGCAGCTTTTCTTCCTGGCCCCAACCACCCACCAGCTTTTCTTCAAGCAAAGCTCCAATAGAGTAGAAAGAGGTCCTCAAAATCAGAAGATTGTATTATCTTACTGGAAAACGGAGGCTCTAGTTGAGGAGAATGCAAAAGCCAGCAAGCAGTGCAAGTCTATCAACAGAAGAATCCTTTTATTATCTGGTTATTTTGATCATTTAACCATGTTTTGATCATCTAATCAGCTAATATTTTAAACTATGACTTACTCCAAAGATAGATTTTTATCACTAGTCTGCAAAGATGAAAGGTTACATTTCATTATCAGCCCTCAAATGTCAACCAACAGCTCGTAAGAATATCCAATACCCTTGTAAAATTTTCCTTCTATCCCTTCTCTTTGATGCAATCTTAACTTTCTTGAAATGCTCTTGAAATTCATTTGGAAACAGTAAAATCCTAACTGGCTCACTTCTCTCATGTAGCTACAAGGAAAGTTTCCTTTAATGGACAAAAGTTCTTCTTGTGTTCCTTTGTGTAGCTACAAAAACATGAAGCACTTCACGCTAAGTTGATAGTAATCTGACATAAGTTCATTTACCAGGCAAACCTCTCCCCCTCTTCCAACACTTAGGCTGAAGACTGAAGTCACACTATTTATTTAAAAGTATAAACCTTTAAATAATGATGGGCCAATACGAGATGGATATATTTTCATGACAAGAGGAGTTACCATGTAGCCAAAGGCTTACATTTTAAACAAATTGTTCTGGACTCTTAGCTCGTCTAATATCTGTATTCCAAAACAATAAATTACAATAGCACATGTCCCACAAAGAAGTTCTATGAAAGTTTATGGGCATCCATTTATGTGTATAATCTGTCTGATAAAAATACACTGAATTTAAATTAGGGATTTGTGTATATGCATTCACAAGACTTTAGATGATAAGCAAAATGGGAAGGTTTAATGATGGAACAGAAACGTCAGTAGATGACGTGGGAACCTGCATGCACTGTAGTAGTCAGTTGATTAGTCACAGGAATAATCTTCCTGCTGAAGACATCCAACATCTCAGTTACAGATGGCAGCTGCTATTCCAGGGCCTCACATATCCATGGTGCTTATTATTATAACAAGGGGATTGGTGACTATTAATGTCTGATAAAAATTTCTCTGCATTTAGTTTTACAAACAATATTGAGTCCCTTTCAGTCCTGGACTGCTGTGTAGCCCTTCCATGCGTTGTTCAGAGTCTGACACTTTCCACACTAAAGCACAAGCATCAAAAGTCTCTCTTTAAAGCAAGTAGCTTGGTGTCTATTTATAACACAAGTTCTGTCCTTTCTGTTATTACCATTTGTGCAAAAATGACTTCAAGAACAACACAATTCAGTTTTAAAATCATCTCCAAAACCCAAAGTCACTCAGAAAAAGACCCTTCTCCCCAGCCAGTGCCAAAAGCCTTCACTCATCCAGTTGTCTTTTTCCAAATACCTTGTAAAAAGGCTGGACAACCTCCTTTCACTCCAATCCAACTTTAAAGTAAGCCCCTATTCTTTCACCCCCTCAACACCCACTCCATTAGCCAGTAATACACTTTCAGCAATAAACAGATAAACAGAAGTCACCCAGAGAAAGGACGAAGATGACCTTAAAGGTATGCCAAAGCAGAATGGTTATTTATACCTCCTAATACCAGGCTCCCAACAGGAATAAGTGAAATCCAATCTACCCACATTTTAAACCATATCTACCCAAGCATTAACTGAAGTGATGATCAGTAATTCAGTGGAGCTAAGCATAGGAGCAATGTTTCAACCTTTTATTATTACCACCACTGAGAGGAAATGTGGGGGGGTGCATGCGCAGGTTTCAGTGTATTCCCAAGCAACTGGTAAGCATCACCATTCTGTTTTCTTCATTTTTGTGGCGGGGAAAAATAAATCTCAGTACCACTCACACATCCTCTTACTCCAGTGCAAGTAAGGACCAAAAGAAATGCCTAACTGCTCACTGTAGTCATTTTTTTAAAGTTTCATTGTTTTTTGTTTCTGGTATATCTCTGAAAGCAGTGGACATTTTGAAAATATACTATATATTACAGGAATAAATAAATGGGGATGTTTTCAGCATTCAGGACAACGAATGAACTTAGTTCCAAGCCAGTCCACTTTGCCACAGCAAAACAGACAAGTAAAAAAAAGACAAGTTATCTCAAACTAATGACATTGCAAGTGCAAATAAACTTCATTGGGAAAGAAAACAACAATACAAGTGTCCTATACCAACACAAGTGTCCTCTCCATTTCTGAGCAAAAAAGCCTAGAAAAAACAACTCTTTAAGACAAAAGTTTGCAGTGCTCAAACTGAGCATCCCTTATTTTGTGCCACATACCCAATGCAATAACGATAATCTCTTCTGCTACTGGACGATGGCATGATAGGAACCTCGAAACTACTTTGTATAATACTACCACATGGGCGCAAACAACCAAATAATCGGATCCGAGCTGGGTACGTTCGCAGGGAGGGAGGTGGAGAGCTTCCTCACCCCAGAAACATAGACAAGGCTAGACGTTTTTGGTGGGGTACGCCCCGCGCCGGTCCACCCTCTCCGCACCTGGGGCGAGCAGTAGCGAGCGGCGGGGTGCAGCGGGTCCGGCCCCACCACCGAGAAGCGGGGAGCTGCCTGCAGCCCCCTGGACGGCTGCGAAGTGATCGTCGGTGCCACACAGAGGAACAGGCAAGGGACTGACCAGGGTCCGGCAGCCGAAGAGCCCAGTGAAAACCCAGCAAGACGAGCCGCCCCTGAGCGCTTGCCTGCACCAGCGGGGCGAGGGACCCCCGCACCCGGCCGCCCGCCGGCAAGGGTGTCCCTCGGGCAGCGCACGGCGCCTCCGCCACCCGGGGCGGTGCTGCGGGACAGCCCGAGCCCACAGGCACCCACAGGCGGACAGCGCGGACGCCCGTGTTAACTTTCCAGCAGGTCCCACGAGCAGCTGCGAGGCGGGTCGGGCCGGCTGGGAGCCGGGGCGGGCGGGCGGGCAGGAGGGACGGGACCCCGGGGACCCTCACCTTGGATCGCTCTTTCACGTAGTACTTGCCGAGTCGGCTCCCGCAGTACATCACCAGCCGGTCTATCAGCGTGAGGAGAAAGTTGATGGCCTCGCAGCCCTCCTCCGTGCCCCCGATCCACTTGATCTGGTCGCCGCGGAGGTGCCGCTTGGCGACGCCGCGGCTGGGGCCGGCCAGCTGCCCGTCGGCCAGCTCCCCGTCGCGGTGCATCCGCTTCACCCGCTCCAGCACGCAGTCCCCCACCACCTCCCCCAAGAAGTTGTCCAGGTAGCAGAAGCCGATGTCGTGCAAGCAGGGCACGACGTACTCCAGGGCGATTCTCTCCAGGTCCAGCCTCATGATGTGCCCCAGCGGCATGGCGCGGCGGGGACGGGAGCGCCGGTGCCCTGCCGGCGCCCGCGTCGGGAGGCGATGCCCGCCGGGCCGCCGCCGGCTCCAGGCCGAGCCGGGCAAGGGCTCCGCCGCGACGCGGGGCCAGGCGAGGCGAGGCAAAACTTTGGCAGCGGCGGGCTCGGCTACGCACCGCGGCCCGGCGCTGCGGGAGCGGCGGTGCTGCCGGAGCCCCGCGCTGCTACTGCCGCCGCCACCGCCCCAGCAGCGTGCGGGACCGCCCTGGGGCGTGCGGGAGGGCGCGGCAGCCCCCGCCCGGCGCGCGGACGGCGGCGGCAGATGGCCCCACGCTGATTAACACGCCGGCTACGTGCGGGATGTGTGCTCGCGCCGCCGCGCGGGGGTGGAGCCGCCGGCGCGGGCCGAGCGCCCCGCCCACTCCTTGCCCGCGGCAGCGCGGGCAGCCAATCGCCTGGGGCGGGGCGGGGCCAGCCCCCGGGGAACAGGCGGCGAGGGCTCCCACACGTGCACGCGGGGGGCGTGGCCCCCGGTGCCACCTCCTCGCGGGGTGGGCGTGGCCAGCGCCATTGAGGAATTCTCGCCTTGCATGTCGGCGGGGCTGAGACCCCCCCGGCCCCACCGAGCCGTCCCGCAGGCGCCCTGGGGGACACCGCACCGCACCTCGACGTACCTCGCCGCTCCGGAGCTCTTGGACTAGTCCAAGTGAACTTTGCAAAAGCCTCCCTGGGCTTCTCCTGTCGCCTCTTACCTCCGACTGCTGCACCGGCAGTTTCAGCACCAGACAGAAGTGTCGCATTAGGCGGCAGGTACCGCTTTTCTGGGCGAGGAATGCACTCCTTTATAAAGGTTTATGTAATAAAATAACACTTCCCTGAATTATTTGCCCCAAAGGGCCCGCCAGATTGCTTGGCTCTGCTAGCAGGAAACACCTCCTGGACCGTCGGTGGCTTCGTGCCACGCCGGGACAACTGCAGTCAAACCGTGACAAACTTCATTCCTCGCTTCCAAACCAAAACTCGCCGTTCCTCCGCGTGACCCCTTGCCAGTAACACTGTCCCTGCACTGGCCGGCCACGAAATAATGTCCCGCTGTCGCTGTTCAGTCTGTGTCCGACCGAGCAGCACGCTTTCACGGCAAAACGCCTCATGAGAAAGGAAAAGTGAATAACCGCTCAGCTCCTCTCACACACGCAACATGCCCGGGATTCACTAAACAAACACACGAAGCCTCTACAGAAATCAAAACCAAAGCAAAGACACGTTGCGGAGAGACGCTGCCTGCGGCCAAGCCGGGCGGGACACCGGGCGGGACAGGGCGGACGTGCCTCACTCGGTGTCCCTGAAGTTACCGGCATCACGCCCCGCTCTAATTTCACCACCCCGCGTCCATCCGTGTGACGAGGGCATCCATTCTGCTCGGCGGCGACCTGTGCTGTCCCACGCGTTCCGCGGCACCGCGTCCCGCGGTGCCTGCACACGCGCACCCACCCCCCGCAATTCCACCGATGACAGCGCGGGCTATCAGTGCCGCCCGGGATTCCCTCAAGACGCGGCGGAGGTGTGTGCGTATCGTGTCCCGCAGGGCCCCGCGCAGAGCCCGGCACAGCGCGGGGTGACATGCGCTTCAGCTGGAACCCGGTACATTTCACCCCCTAAAAAGGCAAAATCCATGCTGGTTCTTTTCTTCCCCTTCACGTCGCGAATCCTGACGGGATTAAAAGCAGTGCGTGCTGCTGATGCTGCTCGAGTTGCAAACTCCACGTCCCGGCACATGCAGGAGCGGGTCACGTATCCCACGTTTGTTCTCCTCGAATCCAGTAGCATCTACCCCTCAGTGCACAGCACTAAGCACAGGTCTAATCCTCTAAAATTACCCCCTGACAGCTCTATCGACATCCAAGCAGTATGACATCAGATAAATTCATATGTGGTGAGATACGGACTGTGAAAGGACTTCCTTTGATTTAGGTACACACTTCACATTTAAGTGGTTTTATAACTAATAAGATACAATTCTGCATCTTATTAATCCCTTAATGCTTATCTGAAAAATCAATCAGGCATGATAGACTAAGAGCAGCTGTCATAATCAGCAAGGGATGCAAGGTTCAACTACAAAATCTCAAAGTTATGAAATTTGGATACAGTAGGAAATATTATTGCTGCTGCATTCACACTTTTTTGTCATGTAAAAGCTATTATGTGCCAAAATCCTTTGACTTCTCTTGGATTTCCCCCATTTTCTTGTTTACACACCCATTCAAGCACATACTCCTGTGCCAGAATCAGGTATTTGCAGATTCTGACCTTCTAGCCTTTCTGTCAAGTGTAATGATGCTGCCTTGACAAGTGAAGGGCTGAGAGTGATGTCTTCCAGCAGTAGCTGAAGTTGGTCATTACAGCTTTATTTTTCTCCTTTTGAGAGTTTTTAATTATGAGTTAGGCAGATCTGCACCAGAAAAAGCCACCTTAGAGAGTTAGAGATTTGTCTTAGAAAACTGAGTCCGTGGCCCTATTTGCAGAGTGAGGTTCACAGAGTTGTAAATACTTTTATTCCTCAAGCATTGATAAGTCATGCCTTCCTCGGGAGGGCATCTGCTGCCCTTTGTTTTCAAATCAGGTTTTCCGGTGGACAGTGTGCTTTGTCCCTTAAAGCATGATGTGCTTTTCACACTAGCATTTGCAGTAGCAGTCAGACTGTTACATGTGAAGATAAAACATCAGGAGAAACAAAACCAAAGAATGGTGATTTTTATTTATATTTGTTTACGAGTGCTATTTTACTTCATCTGTTTGCCCATTAGTTTGTGACAAATGTGATGATGATGAAGATGTGTGATTGAGATTGTGATTGTTTAGGTTAGAAACTCTTTCTCCATGCATACAGACTGCACCAAGCAGCAGTCTTCACATCACTATACAGGAACGAATTTGTAAACTGAGTAATCATAGCCTCTATCAGACACCTTCATCATCACCAAGGAAGGACAGATTCCTGCCTAGCCCACACACACTCTGCAAGAGCTCTCTTAATCCCCTTAAGGGTACCAAAGCTGAATCAAGAGATGCTGGGCTGCAATCTTGGTAATTCCCGAGCTAAACTATGAACTTGCCAACAAAGATGCAAAGCAGCCCTCAGCGTATGCTATCCTGTACAAGAACCACCCAGAGGAATAAAAGCCAGAGCAGGACCAGACACTGAACCTTCCCAACCACTCTACTGCTCACCAAAAAAAGCTATCATGTAGGACATACAATGTAAGTATTGCACAGGGCACAAATAAAGGCATGAAGGTGTTAAACCAGGCAATTCACAATGTCACCCACACTTTTGAACATGGACAGTTTGTCTACATTGCTGTGTATCACAGGCATGAAAGGCGTTACCACATTCAACTATATATGAGCAATCCCTCTGCCATGTGAAGCCCTGTTTATCCTTACATTGTAGAAAATTTTATTTTCCCTTCCAAAATTAATTCTCTATTTTCTTACTTTCCATTCTAGAATCTCACTTTCAAAACTTCTAAATCTGTTGCTTACACCTGCCGCTATGGCACATAGTAAAGTTCAGTAGACCAAAACAGGGCATTTAGCATGCTGGCAGAATGATTTTAAGGAGATTTGTTTCAGAGGATTAGAATAATTGATGTCAGTCAAGCTGGATACTTGTTACACACTAGTGCATTTTTCTTACAACAGAATTTACAGATGAACTGCTTCACACTTTTTTAGAGCAGTGAGTTTTAAACATTTTAAGTCTTGTTTTCAGATTTTTTCTTTTTGGAAAGCCAGACCACTTCAGTACCAAGGGCTGAACTGCAAAGGCCCCAGCAAGAGAAAGGGAAGAAGGGAAAAGTATTCTTTATATCAGTGAGAAATGGTAAAATAGTATTTTTAATACCTCATAATGCTGATGTCTCATGATCTAGTAAGGCATTAATTGAAGCCCTGCCTACAGAAACTACTTTTCTGGCAATGTTGGTATGGTTATACAACCCCTTTGGCCAAGGAAGTGTTTGTACAGGGATGGCACACCAGTGCTAGCACATCTTGCCATGCCTTCTTGAGAGGTCACTAACCCCACCTGCCTTTCCCATCCCTCTGCTGCAGGTTGCAACCTCTCCCCTGCAGGGCTGACAGAAGAGAACATGTGTTTCTGCCTCGGCCCCTTCAAAAGTGCAAAGTCCAGAGCCTTACACCCACCTTCACCGGAGACTTAGTTTTACACAGAAAAAGCTGAGGCATCAGCACCTGTACCATTCCTCTGCCTGCTGTGCACATACCAACTCCTGGCAGAGCAGTCATGTTTTGGTGTGGTCTCCTCCAACTACAGCAGCGAGACTTGACAGAGCTCCTTTGTCAGCACCCTTAATATTAGGTCATACTGAAAGCAGGCATGAGGGCAAAGGTACGTGTCATGGCTTGAGCTGATCTAGTAACTCATTCAGTGCCTTTTCCCCCACACCTCTCTTTGCACTCACTTTGGCACACTTTAAACTCCTTCACAGCCGATCCCACTTGCTAAGGTGACAAAAAAGCTATCCTGAACAAAACAACAAAGAAAGAGTCATTGTATGCCAGGTTGGAGGGTTAAGTTACCTTGAGTCAGGTCCAGTGAGATGCACTGGAAGGATGGGAATCATTGGGACTGACCCGCTTGGGCAGGAGTGAATGATCTGATAAACAAGAAGGAACACAGGTTACAGAGAAGGCTGGGCTACTCAAAAAGTTCTTTGCCACAGTCTTCACCAGCAGTCAGGCCTCCCGTGTCTCTCAGTCCATGAGCCTCTAGATGGGAGTTGGGGGAGTGAAGTCCCTCACCTTGTAAGTGAAGAGCAGGTTCGAGATCCCCTGATGATACTGAATAGGCACAAGTCTATGAGGCCTGATGAGATGCATCCCAGAGTCCTGAGGGAACTGGTTGATGGTATTGCCAAACCACTCTCCATGGTATTTGAAAAGTAATGGCTGTCAGATGAAGTCCCTGTTGATTGGAAAAAGGGAAACATCACTTCTATTTTTAAAACGGGGAGAAAGGAAGACCTGGGGAACTACAGACTGGTATCTCACCTCTGTGCCTGGTAAGATCATGGACCAGGCCCTCATGGCTGCAACGTTAAGGCACATGTAAGACTAGGAAGTGATCCAAGACAGCCAACATGGCTTCACTAAGGGCAAATCATGCCTGACTAATATGGTGGCCTTCTGTGGTGGAATGACTGCAACAGTTGACATGGGAAGACCGACTGATGCAATCTCCTTAGACTCTTGTAAGGCCTGCAACATGGTCCCAGCATGACATCCTTATCTTTAAACTGTAGAGATAAGGATTTGAAGGGACTATTCAGTGGATAAGGAATTGGATGGATGGATGCAGCTAGAGAGTTGTAGTCAATGGCTGTATGTCCAGATGGAGGCCAGTGATGAATGATGTCCCTCAGGGCTCTGTCTTGGGACTGGAGCTCTTTAAGATGGAGTGCACCCTCAGCAACTTTGCAGATGACCCAAAGCGGTACAGTTAAAACAACAGAAGGAAGATATGCCATACAGGGGAACCTGAACAAACTTGAGAAGTGGGCCCATGAGAATCTCATTAAGTTAACATGTCCAGGTGCAAGGTGATGCACCAGGGCAATCCAAGACATGAGTACAGACTGGGAGAAGAACTCACTGAGAGTAGCCCTGAGGAGAAGGGCTTGGGGGTTCTTGTGGATTAAAAGCTGGACATGAGCCAACAGTGTGCGCTAACAGCCAAGAAGGCCAACCACATCCTGGACTGCATCAAAAGAAGCGTGGCCAGCAGGTTGAGGGATGTGATTCTGCCCCTCAGGTCTGCCTCTGTGAGACCCCACCTGGAGTATTGTCTCCAGGGCTTGAGTCTTCAGCACAAGGACATGGATCTGTTAGAACAGGCCCGGAGGGGGGCCACAAAGATAATCTGAGGGATGGAGCACCTGTTTTATGAAGACAGGCTGAGAGAGCTGGCGTTTTTCATCACAGAGAAGAGAAGGCTCTGGGGCGACCTCATTGTGGCTTCCCAGAGCTTAAAGGGTGCTTATGAAAAAGAGGGAGAGGGACTTTTTACACAGGCAGATAGTGATAAGGCAAGGGAGAATAGTTTTAAACTAAAAGAGTAGAGATTTAGACTAGATGTTAGGATTTAGACTGGATGTTCAGGCACTGGCACAGGTTGCCCAGAGAAGTAGTGGATGCCCCCATCCCTGCAAGTATTTAAGGCCAGGTTGGATGGGGTTCTGAGCAATCTGATCTAGTGGGTGGCATCCTTGCCCTTTGCAGGGGGTTTGGAACTAGGTGATATTTAAGGTCCCTTCCAATCCAAGGCATTCTGTGATCTATGATAGCTCAGCCCTCACTGCCACAGTCACCTGGCCTGCACTAGGTTTCACAGTTAGTAATGTGATGAAACTTCAGGATAGGCTTTGACTCAGCTTAACATCTGCTAAAGATTCCATTGTTTGTAGTAGGCTGTGTATCTGATGCACCAGTAAGTATCTTCCGAATCCTAGTCTTGGGAAAATATAACACTATAAATGTCGTTATGGCTAAGGGACCTCAGCTAGCCTCAGCCACAATTGAGTGTTTTATCAAAGTTTTCCTAAAGCATTCTAGGTGCAAAAATGGCCTTCCTGATAGGATTAAGTGCCCTTATCTTGTGCCAGCCGTTCCTGAGGTATGCCAAATGTTAAACTTGCAGCTTTTACTGGCCTGTGGTGCATCTCTTGTAGAAGAAGAGTTGTTCGTGGCATCCTGTCAGCTGCTTGAGGAGCCATGGGGCATTCAAAACTGTCCTTCAGGCAGTTAGCAAGTGAGCAGAATGCAAGTAGAGGGAAGTTGTATAGTAAATGCAATTAATGCACAATCTGACCAATATAGCACTAGGCAGTTAATTTTATGGCTATCAAGTATCATACCACCAAGAACTTGGAAGTATGGCTATGAGGAAAAAAAGGCAGTTATTGAGACTTTCATTATGTAAACAGAAAAGTTCAATGTGGTAAGTAAATAGCGCAAATAAGGGAAAGCAGTAAACTTTGACAGTATAACATTTTTGTAAAACTAAGTTTCAATGAATTTTAAATTGTTAATATCTTTATAGAAATCTGAGTGTACAGATATTCATATATATATTTCCATGTTTTAGAGAGGTTTGTCTTACCTTTTTGACTTGGAGTGATCAGTTAAGAACTATATCTATGCAAGTACTTACGTTTGAAATTAAATAGAAAATTACCATAGATAACATTATGATTACCTTAAAACCTATTTCCATTTTAAGTAGATATTCTCCCCCAGAAACCATATAATTTGCTCCCAAGTGTATCTCAGTGTTTCTGGAATTAAACAGTAAATCCTGAGAACAGGGAAATAAGTGTGTCCCAAATGATGCATTGTAACAAAATAGAGAATCTGTCCAGGAAAACAATAAGCCACTGATCAGAAGACTGGAGCCATAGCCGCGTTAGCTGCATTGCCAAGTATTTCAAGTCAGAGATATATAACAGCCAGAAACACAAATTTTGACAGACCAGAAATCAAAGTTCTTGATATTAAAGAGATTTCTGCTGATAGAACCTGACTTTGAAATCTTTTTTATGTCTTTTCTTTCTCAAAGACATTAACTGGTCATTTAACATTAATATAGGTGAAGAATAAGAGAGCCAGAAATAAGTATCTTCTCTGGTGGTTTGCAGGTGAGTTTTCACATTTCTAGTTCTCTTCCAGCTTCCAAGGAAAACAAGAAATAAGTATGTGATGTAAACAAAAACCAAAACAAGAGGATCTTAGAGGATGGACAATTTTAGGGATCAGACTTTCCACTTTTCCTGTCGTGTTAGTTAATGAATGAGCACTAGCTTATTATCTGGATTTTATAATTAAAGCCTCCACTGTGCAATTGTCAGTACAGGCAGATTTAATTTCTGAGAAATCCCTAGCTGGCAACAAAAATTACAGTTGACTTTCAGCAGTTACTGATATGCCAGTAAATAAGAGAGTTGTCTGGGTTAGTTTGTTGTTGAGTTTTCTCTTTGAGTGTTTCTTTTTTCGGAGGGGGCTATGTTTTTAAAGTTGATGAAACAGAGACAGCAAAACACCTTATAAGGGAACAAAATCAGAATTCCGGTTCTTCTTACCTGTTTCTGATCAACATGGCTATAAAAATAGTCTTCAATATGAGCTATGATTTTGCTTTATCTTATTTCATCTCTTTGCCTTTTTATTTAGGAAGTCGTTACTGACTACTGGAAAATTTTTAAGCAGCTTAGTGAATATACATTTTAACTCTCATGCCTTGTCTCTCAAGAATTATAGTCCTCCACTCTGTCTTTAGATTAAGATATGATTCAAGTTAAACAAACAGAAAATAAGATTTTTTCAAACTGCCTGAGTGAGAAGTCAAAATATGTCTAGACTACTTAAGATAATTAAAGCTGTGTATTTCTGCCCTTTTTCCTATTCTACAAGTATTGGTGTATTTATACACATACAAAGGTGCTTTATAGTAGTATATAGGGTTTTTTGCATCAGATGGAGAATAAATCCTATAAAATATAAGGCACGTTTATATTGCTGTACTTATATCCACATCAGTACTTATACCAGTATAATTATTCAGTTAAAAAATGTAAAAAATACTGATTATCATGTTGTGTATAGCCAGGCTATAAATAATATGCTACTTCTGCCTTCCTAAATGCTTATCTGTAGCATAAAGACTTTTTCAATTGTGTTAATGAAAATATAGAACATACCTTGCTGGGTTTTTTTATTTTATTAAAAATAAAGTTGGCACTTTTGCATAAAGATCACAATAAAATATTTGGGATTTGGGTTTCTGTCATACAAAATAAATACAAATGTAAACTTTTTCTATATTGTAAGTTTGATTATTAGGAACAGATGTTCAAGGAGTTGGACGTCTTATCCTATATATAATTACTAGAGCTGTCCTCCTAATCATAGCATGCAAAACTGATCACTTACCATATCTAATTAAAGCAATTTTTCCTCCTAATGCAGAACCATGAAAGTACTGTTCCCTAAATTCTCTTCTGAATGGTTTGCTAGTAAAACACAAAAGATTTGTTTTCCTCTCTTAAATTAATTTTTCTAATAAAGCTCATCTATTTTGTAGGATGTTTGCC